TCGATTGTTATCGATAGATATCGATTGTTATCAATAGATATCGATTGTTATCGATTGTTATCGATAGATATCGATTGTTATCGATAGATATCGATGGTTATTGTTTTTATAATAGGAGGATTTAATAATAACAATTTGACGACGGCTTGGTCAAAGTTATTTAGCTAATGGCTAAAACAACACAATTACAAATTGATTGGGTAAATTTTATGAATTTTTATCGAAATTTTGAGAGAATTCCGGCATTCGAGAGGGAATCCCGTAAATTACGAATTCCAACCGCGTGAATTACGATTTCAAAACGCAACTTATGATTTCACAAAACGTAAATTACGATTTATATTTTGTAAATTACCATTTTGGACCCGTAATTTCCGAGTTTAGATCAGACCTCGACAAACCGCGTAATCTACGAAGTTCAAAGTTGTAATTAACGAAATATGAATCGTAATTGATGTTTTAAAAATCGTAATGATGTTTTCCTGAGAAATTCGATGACAATGCGCGCATTGCGGCTTGAAATACGCTATTACCAAAATAACTGAACTGTATATCATTAGAAAGCAATCGCCACTTTGATGATTGATGTTCAATAATCATGAAATTTATAAGAATTTAAATCCTTTTAACATACAATTCAATAGAATGGAGACAGAATTGGTTGCCCCGGAAGACTGTCAGCGTTTTCCTTCTAAATGTAATTACTTTTAAATTATGATTTTGTTTTCAATTATAAGACACCGTGATGGAGTTCATATCGATCTTCGTCAGCACTTAGTGACACCCGAGCGACGGTGATGTACCTAAATTAAAAAACTAATTAAAATTACAAATCGAAAATCGAAATTTCTCTGAATATTCAAAGAAATTACTGGATTTTTTAGTCAATCAAAGCAAATGTACAATGATCTTAATATTTCCATGAAATTTACATTGCAAAAATATTTTCTCCAGACATCTGATTGTGATTGCGAGTCCTAAATTACATAAATTTCATTTAAAATAATTAATTTAAATTTGGGAGTTAAATTGTAACTTTATTGTTTGCGAGAATTGGAATTTGAAATTAGTAGTGATTAAAATATGCCTGAGGGTGCAACCAATTTATAAATAGATTAGGTCATCAGCTAATTATTTCTTCTGCCTATTAAGATTAAAAAAATGGTTTTCAACTTTTCAATGGTCACAGAAAATAAATATAATAGAATTGAATACTTCAATTTTCGGTTTCGATTTTATATAACAATGCCATTAAGAGTATATTTATTCTTTTTCACTCCATATTTGTTAAATAAAAAATTCACATGAATCTATTAAAAGATTGAATTAATGAAATAGTCACTAGCTTCAAAAATATTTTTCATTGTTTTAAATCTAATTTCCTAAAAATAACAATTTTCAGTCAAAAAAACAATTTTACTGATTTTTTTACTGTCAGTAAAAAAAATTAATAAATTAATTGAGTTTGAATTAATATCGAGGTCACAGCATTACTTATATACCAGAAAAAAATCTATTTAATTCGACGGATACATTACCTATGTATATATAGGTCACTGACTGCAGGCGACTGATGTTCCATTTTTTTTCTAAAAAAATCCAAAACTTTTATGTACCAAAAAACGAAAATGTGCAATTACCATTTTAACTGAACTAAACTGAATTTTTTCCCCAGGAATCCGTGGTCATGCAACGCCAAACAAATGCAGAGCCTTCTCCATTACTTGGCAGTTCGAGGAATTAGATACGAGCCATCAGTCTGTCCCCGAAAAAAGGGTGTAAAAAAATCCGAAAATATAATAATGAGTCCAGTGATTGTATCACCGAAGTACCCACCGATAATTCTACCAAAAAACACAAACACCGGGAACTCCGGCTGGATGAATGCACCGACGAAAAACGAAGAAGCCATACCTTCCAAGCCAGAAGGATTGAAGGAATTGAAGGAGTTCTACGTCTTCGAGATTTGGATTCTCTCAATTTTGAGTTTTATGACTGGTCTAGGGTCTGGAATGGTCACGATGTACTGCTGGCTGTCAAAATCTGGAGACTCCACAGACAGACCAGCATTGCTGAATTCTTCTCTACGAAGATGTGACGCTGTGTCCCAACATAGTCAAGCTAGTTTCGAGTTCTCTAGTCCCCTCGCTCAAAGAGTCTCTTTGCTGAGGAATATCTGGAGTAATAGTGATGAAGATGTCAATCTGCAAAGAGTTCCAATCTGTCCAGATACCCCGCCTCCAGCATATCGAGATGTTATTCTTCATGCTAATCGTTATCCTGTTGGTTGAAACCTGAGATTATTTGTTACAGAAAAGTATTTTTGCGCATGCATTCGATGATACTACGGCTTTGAGACAAAACCGACCCGTCACCATGACGTCGTGGCTCAATCTGCATTTCGAATGAAAAAAGACGATATACATGAACTAGGAAAGAGGTTCAGAGGCAGAAAATATAGAATATTATAAATATAATATATTATAAAAATATATAAACATAAAACATAATTGTAAATATTTACTTAAACATTGGCATCGAGATTTACCGATTTTTTTGCAATTAATAGATTTGCATTTCATGAATCTATTTCAATTTACAGTAATTGTTATATAATTGGTGAGGGCATTGTTTCTCTTTATCCAAATTTGTTTATAAATTGAACGCATCGTCAAGCATTTTTAATGAATACTAATTTCAAATTTGAATTCTCGCAAACAAGCAAAGTTATAATTGAATTACAAAATATCAATTACTCGCTTTGAACAAATTGTTTTAATTGAATATTTAGCACTCGCAATCACTTATATGTCATTAATTTAATTTGTTAGTTTCAAAACAATTTTTTTTTATTTATTCAATTATTTATCTCAGTATATTATCTTAAATCAGAGATGTGTAGATGATTTCTATCTGTTATCATAATTTTATCCACGGAATGAGGATTTTTGAAATTTTAAGGACCCGGAGCATCAATAAGAAACTGTCACCTAGTGAAAAAAGTTATTGTGTAATTCATGTGAGATAATTTTCCGACAATTACACTGGACTCACACCCCAGAAAATCTTTTCACGGAAAACCCTGAATTCCCGTCTTTTTGTAACACTGTAATAATGTAACACTTTTATTTCTCCGATTGTTCCAGCATTTATCTATTCACTTAGTGTGTGCACTCAGTGCTGGTTAATTTACCAAAGCTCCTGCTTTCCGTTATATTGTATATTATATTATATTGTATTATATTGTCCCTTATGTTTAGATAATTGAAATGTGTTTTTGAATGGGCTCTCTTAGTTGTCGAGAATTTTATTCCTTTTGTGGAGATAGAACACTCATTCAAACTATTTCTGCTGGTCATTGTGGTACGCAGGGAAAAAGTTAACTGTGAAATCCCGTGGAACGGAATTTACGATTTTTTAATCGGGAAATTATCAGATTAAAAACGTAATTACATAAGTTAACGGTCTAACGCAAAGAACATAGTTCAAGAATTTGAAATCGTAATTGATCTTGTTCGTCTCACAATTGACATTTTTATTCCCGCGGTTTGAGTTTGTAATCGTAATTTGCGTTCAGATTTTTTTGTGGGTGATAATTAAAAAATTTGAGAGTTATTAAATTACGGTAAAATACCAAAACGGTAAATTGCGAATTGTTAACTATCTAAATATAAAAAATATATCTGGAAATATTTGTTAATAATAATCGGATGCGTCGCATACATTTCACCAAAAAATTAATTATCAAAGATATATTCTGGATATATCAGTGCAAATATATCTCGCATATATATTATATATTGAAGATATATTCAAATATTACTTGAATATAATGAAGATGTGATTCCGGCGAAAATACTACATTTTAGATTAGATTTTAAGTACGCGGATGGTCGGACTAGCTTCTCCAATGCCACCGAACTCAGATTAGAGTTATTGTAGCTCCGCTTATTATATGCGCGGATGATATGTCCAGCCCGGCCTTTATTGCCAGTCTTAACAGATCCCTTAAAAAAATATCATATCAGCTACAATTTTTGGATTATATTTTTTTTCATACGTGTACTTGTAGTAATTCATGTCATAAGATATATGATATACATTGTTTTTTGTCACGAGGTCTAGGCGTCAAAAAATTCATTTATTTATATTCGTTCAGACGTATCAGGCATATAAAAATGTTAAAAACTTAGACTGGAGGAATTTTTTAATTGGCGCGAGTAATTTGAAGATGAATTTTATACAACTGTAGATGGCTGTGTTGACTTACCGATTGATGGTTATTCTCTAGGTGCCGGGGGTGAGGAAATGGGAAATGTAGGCCAAAGAGGATTGACTGAAGTAGAGGCTCAGTTCTGGGGGTTGGAGTGACCCCAGCAGCATCGTAGTACTGCACCCCAAGAGAGGGAGGGCGCCACACGCAATGAGGGTAACTGCCTCAGTAGCAGTCCCGCTGTCAGAGGGACCCGTCAACTGGGTGAATTTTATTTTATGTGTTACGAAATTGGTATTCACTGAAATTGAAAAATGAAAAATTTTCAAAAAAGTATCAGAGGAGCATAAAAATGGAGGAGGTATTCACTGAAATTTGAAAATTTGAAATTTTTGAAAAAGTATCAGGGGAGCATGAAAATCGAGGAGGTATTCACTGAAATTGGAAAATTCGAAATTTTTGAAAAAGTATCAGGGGAACATGAAAATCAAGAAGGTATTCACTGAAATTTGAAAATTCGAAATTTTTATAAAAGTATCAGGGGAGCATGAAAATCGAGGAGTTATTCACTGAAATTGAAAAATTAAAAATTTTCAAAAAAGTAACAGGAGACCATGAAAAACGAGGAGGTATTCACTGAAATTGAAAAATTACAAATTTTCAAAAAAGTAACAGGAGACCATGAAAAACGAGGAGGTATTCACTGAAATTGAAAAATTACAAATTTTCAAAAAAGTAACAGGAGACCATGAAAAACGAGGAGGTATTCACTGAAATTGAAAAATTACAAATTTTCAAAAAAGTATCAGGGGAGCATGAAAATGGAGGCGGTATTCACTGAAAATTGAAAATTCGAAATTTTTCGAAAAGTATCAGGGGAACATGAAAATCGAGGAGGTATTCACTGAAATTGAAAAATTCAAAATTTTCAGGAAGTAAAATTCACCTACTCGATCGGTCCCTCTAACAGCGGGACAGCTACTGAGGCAGTTACCGAGTCAGCTGACGGGCAGACGCCCCACCATTGGGTGCGGCCCCCTCTTTCTCTCGGGGTGAGGTATTCCCCCAGAACTGAGCCACTCACTGAGGGTTTAAGTGACCCCACCGGCATTGTACCCCACCTCACCCCAAGAGAAAGAGGGGGCCGCACCCAATGGTGGGGTGTCTACCCGTCAGCTGACTCGGTAACTGCCTCAGAAGCAGTCCCGCTGTCAAAGGGACCAGTCGATAGGGTGAGTGTAATTTTCTGCGTTACGAAATTGCGTTGAAAATTTAAGTGACCCCATAAAATTTTCAATTTCAGTGAATACCAATTTTGTAACGCAGAAAATAACACTCACCCTGTCGACTGGTCCCTTTGACAGCGGGACTGTTACTGAGGTAGTTACCCCCATTGCGTGTGGCGCCCTCCCTCCCTTGGGGTGCAGTACTACGATGCCGCTGGGGTCACTCCAACCCCAGAACTGAGCCTCTACTTCATTCAATCCTTTTTGATGGAGGCTCTGAAAAACCGTTGCATGTTTGCTGTTGTGATAGTCCATCCGCGATTGAACGTTTAAAATTTATTGGTTAAAAATCGCCTTGTCTGGAAGATGAAGTAATTACTCGACAATTAAACAGCAAGGGGCTGAAAATGTCCATTAACGTTACAGTCAATGGAAATCCTGTGTACATTAAAAGAAGAGGAGTTCTCTCAGATGTCGAGCAGATCAAAAAATATGAACGTGAACGCAGGAGAAAGTTACGATTGGAGCAGGTAATATTTTTGAAATTCCATTGATACAAACCCATCAATGCTCGCAAAAACTCTTTTCGATATATTAAAATCTGTGTAAAAAAGAGGAATGCTCAATTGAGTTAATTTTTGTTGTGCAGTGATGAACTAAAATAATCGCTTTTTTTTCAGGCCAGTTTTTCGTGAATATCTTCAAATTCAAAGAAGATACCCCCATTTTCATAATAACACTTTTTCTTGATCTTGACTTTCTCTATAAATAATCTCTTTATAAAAATATTGCTATCTTTCATCGATTCTGAGATATTTAACAAAAACTAGCCGGCAAAAAATGGAGTTACCCCAGTTTACCAGATCGCTACAGATGTGTTGAATGATCTCAATAATAAATGACTTTATGAGTGATTTTTCATCTGAAAATCCTAAAAGTTTATGCAAAAAGGTTTTTCATAGTATTTATTATTTTATTTCTGCATTAGATTATTAATAAAATTTAATCGCTGAAAAAATGATAATTTCCTCATTTGTCAAAAACTTAAAAAAAATTAAAAAATTCAAATTTCACGTATCACTCTCTAGAATTATTTATTATTGTTAAATCATCGGGATAATGGATTATTTTATGAATAAATATTAACAGATTCGTTATCCTCAATTCATAAAATTTTACATAAAAATGATTTTTTCAAATTATGTCATTTCCTTGCTCTACTGTTCAATGCAGATGTTTTTATTAAAATTGTTGTAATGAGAATTAATGTTGAGTATATTCCTAGGTATATTTCTAGCATCACAGAATGACTACTTAAGATGATAAGAGCGTCCTATTGAAAATTATTGATTGTATTATTTTTTATTATTGGACAATGCCACTCGACAGTTTATCAATCTCTAAATTCCCAAATTTTGAATTTAAATACTCAATTTATCTGTTCATCTGTATTTTAATATCTATTTTAACAGAAAAAATTGAAATTGCAAATGAAACAATTTTTTATGGTTATCCCTTTTACCCCAGCATCTCAATTTTATACATGATCCAAATTTTAATTGCCAATAGGTCAGAGAGCAGTCGAAAGAACTGTCGAGCCAATTACGGGATAGAGCGAAAAATGCTGTCAAAAAAACCGTAAATCATTTAGAAAATGACAAGGATTCAGAGCTCCGTCGAATGCACGAACAGAAAGTTATGGGGATACAACAGAAATATCAAGAGGATATGGAAGATATTGGATTGGCTCACATGTCAGCAGCAGCACAGCCTGATGTTGAAATTATCCTGGAAAGTGGACGTCGAAAAAATCAATTGGCAGCTGCTGAAAGAGGAAAAGAGGCATCTCAACGACTTAAAGAATCTGCCAAGGTATTCATTATTTATCTAAAAAAAAATAATTCATCTCAAATGAATTTTAAGATGATTAATTAATTAAAAAGTTTTTTTGAAATTATCGATTATTTCTTGAATCATTGAGAATTGTTCATATATTCCATGTGAAATGAGTAAATGTAAATTTCTGTGTATCTCATATTTTGAATTTCACTATGATAATTACAGCAGGAGGATCCAGTGACAAAGCAGCAGGAGCGTCTGCGTCAGGTGCGAGAGGTAGAAAACGTGAGATCCTCGATGATAGCAAATCTCTCGAAACGTTCCCCAGTGAAGTTAAAAACCCCAACACACCCGACAGCCCCTCAGTCCTCACCAGCCTCGAACATTCCCCCCAGTACAGCTGAGACCTTCAAACCTCCGCACCAATCCCCAACCCTCCGAAGGAGCTCTTCAAAGAGACGAAAACACAAGGCAACATCCTCCAAAAAATCTCCATCAAAAGTGATTTCGAAACCAAGTCTAAAAACCGTATATCATCCATCAAAATCTACGCAACAAGTCGTGGTAGAGATTCATCAGGAGGACACTTCCACAGATCGTCAATTGCGTCCCCCAGAGTCCCAGAAATCCTCGAGAGCTGGAAGAGGTCCGACAAGAGCCAAAACCCCTGGACCCGTCGAGATGGATCGAATTGAAAGCCTCGATAAATCGAAGGGCATTGACAAAGCTCCTGAGTACAATCCCACGCATTACCAGAATCCCTCATCCTCTACCAGCAGTCTCTCAGTGAGTGATGACTCCTCGTACTTCTCTGATGGAGCTGCCAGCAGCATCGTGGAGCTCATCCCTCCAAGGGAGCACCTCCCACGACCCCAACCACCAGGGAAACCCTCTCCAACGAAAGTTCATCTCTACGACTACAACACTCGTCAGAGAGGCACGTACTCTCGTCGCCCAGGTGTTGTTGAAAGAATTGATCTAGTGGACGAGCCAAATGCTGTGGAATTGGCGAGAAAAACTGCATCCCTCCAGACTAAAGACTCAGTATCAATCGAGAGCCAACGAGCAAGAGCCCAGCAACGAGGAACCAACGCAGCCCTTCGTGAACGGGCCAAGAAAGATTACCAGAATTTAATTCAAAAATTGGATCATCTGTCCCGTGAAGAACGCAAGCTGAAGGCCAGCCAGACCCCCTGCCATCACAGTATTGCAGATAAAAAACGAAGAAAGCAGAAGAAAGACACGAAACAAGCCGAGATGAATCGAGCTTTTGAAGCTTCTCGAGTTGATCCCATCGAGAGGATTATAACGATTCAGAATTCCAGGGATTCTGACAGTCCTTATGACAGTGTTTATGAACGTTCAGATAATTCTCCAGTGGAAGACAATAGAGTTGATCCCTCGATATCACGTAACGAGCAAATTCTCGAGATGCTGAAGAAGGTCGAGCGTCAGAAGCGACTGCTGTTGCAGCAGTTTGGGGCTTCCCTGCCAGATTCTGTCTTCAATGCCAGCATGACTCGCCTCTTCGATGACCAACGATCGAGTGAACCACGTCAGGATGATAAATCTATAGAAAAAAAGGCAGTATCTCCTGAGATAAAGATAATAAAAGTACCTGAACCTACTCCACAGCCTCAGAGGATCGAGACAGCTGTCCAGACGTCGCAAATTCCATCACCAGATGTTACAATCGTCAATGACAAAAGCATCCAAGTAGAATTGATAGACACATCATCAAAAACAGTGAAGAGAATATCTGATCCTCTGGAGTACGTCGAGCCAGTCGTGAGGATTTTGCATCCAGAGGTTGTCGCCAGCAGCAGTGATTCCTCAGCTCCTGGAATTGTCATTGACTTCAGCAAGCAACAGGTCAAAGTGACACCAACAAAAAGAAAAACATCCCGAAGAAAGGCACCTAAATCACTGCCAACGAGTGGTAGAGCATCTCCAGTTAAGAAAATCCCTGAGATTACGAAAATTCCGGGATCAGCATCAGCTTCAGCACCAACATCTCGAGTTAGCAGTCCCCAGGAGGGAATCGAGGAGGAAAAACCGAAGAAGTACAAGTTACCAGAGCGTAAGAGAGTCCCTGTTGTTGATACCAGCACTGATGTATCATTTGGACAGCCCTCGAGACAGAGGGGACAGGGACAATCGTACGTTAAAGTAAAACAAACGATTTTAAAGAAATATTATAATAACACTTCTGACACTTCGACTTCCTACGCTAGCTTGCCAGCTGTTCAGCCAGGTTCTTCCTACCCTGAGGCAATTACCAGTAATATGACTCCAATTCTTCAGATGCTCGACTCTTCTGCTAATGAGAGTATCTTGAAGAAATTCAAGGAGAGAGATATCAGTCCTGTTTCAACACCAGAGACTCCCTCACCCAGGACCATGAGGATTCGCTCCAATATTCCTGATGTTGAGAGACTTGGGAGGATCTTGAGATTCGATGAGGTCGATACCACGCAGGAGGGAAGTGACGTGAGAAGGCGCAGGAAGAAGTCCAGGGAACCAGAGAGGATCAAGAAGAGCCCCAGGGAGTCAGTGAGTTATGAGGAGGGTGGGGATGTCTGTTGGTGTAAAAATCCAGCATGCAGAATCGTTCATGAAGAGGCTGTGGCAACTCCACAGGAGGATTATGGAATTACTAATCCTGAGACTTTCAAGCAGTATGATGAGCTCCAGAATATCTGTGCTGAGAGGATTGCATCGCTCAATGCACTTATTAAACAAGTCAGGGATGAAAAACCAGGTAAATTGATTGCAATTGCAAATTCCAATCTTATTCTTTAGTGATTCCCCAGATATCTCTGCTGATTTTTTTTTATACAGAGGGAGGGAGAACCAGAAGCGAGAGCTTGTCTGTGGGATCATTCATTATTCACTTTGATTGTCAATAATTCATGATTGTTCTTGCATTTGTTTGTTTCTCACTGAAATACGTAAAAAAATGTTTTCCATTTTTATTCCTAAATGACTGGACTGTTTTCTAAATCAATAGGATGACACAAATAAGTTTTTCTCAAATATTAAATATTAGTAGACAAAATTGTCTGATTTTTACCCGAACTGCGCCAAAATAAATAAAAATATCAGCAAAAATCCAAGAAAATCCTCATTTCCAAGAGAAAAATTCTATTTTTTTCATTTAGTTTTTCCATTATGTTTTTATCCATGATTTTTTTGTACTTTGATGTAATCCAACTTTTTATTTTTTAATTCCAGAAGACTTTTCTATAACAGCACCAAGTGACGACACGTCTCTAATGCTGATGCCAACACCCCGTCCCCGAGACAATCTCCACAGTGTTCAAAAATTAGTAGAAAGCATCGAGGCAATTCACAGTCAACTCGCCAAAACCCTGCACGAGTCCCAGCGAATAATAACAGGAAATGTAATGGCTTCGAGACGTCTGGGGTCTCCAAAACTCTCCAAACTTCCGCCTCCAATACTTCAAAAATCAAAAGAACTGCCAAAATCCCCGCAGCCCGCAAAATCTCCAAAGCCCCTACCCCCAGACTCTCCAAAATTCCCGAAATCTCCAGGCCTTCCAAGACCTTTAATGACTCCCCAACCAGAAGACAAGAAAAAGCCAAAAGTAATAAGCGAAGAAATCGTAGAAATCAATCTCCAAAGATTCAAATCGAGGAAAGAATCCTCTCACCCTCAACCATCAACATCAACTCCGAATCACGATGAGATAGTGGAGAAGCTGTCGCTAGAAATTCTGGAACAAACCAAGAGTTCAGAGAAGGCGACAGGCTCGAGGAAGAAGCCCGAGTCACCAACAAAGGGAGAAAAATCAAAAGAAACATCTCCAACAAAGAATCAACCTGAAGAACCCTTTGTTCCTCTCCTTGCAGGTATTTCAAAGGCCTCAAAACCCTTTCCCAGTGTTCCCCAGGGGAATGGACGTCGTCGTCCACCTCCAGTAAGTCATCCCATTTCCTATGGTATCGAAGCCCTTTCTCCACCTCACGAGCTTTCGACAATTGCAGAGTTCGATACCCCAGACACCGTGAATCGTAGTCACATAAGCACCAAAAGCCCGACTGGAAAGTCCAGGAGACAATTACCACTTTGTCCTGATAATCAAGAAAATATAACAGAAGAAGCTGATGTGCAGGATGGTAAAGTGACAAAAGTCCCAGCAGAAGATGTAGCTGCAGTGGTGCAGAAAAAGGAATCCAATGAATCCGTCAAATCGACTGACTCTGTTGATGCCAAGAATTTGCAAGTCGAGCCAAATCGATCAAACAGATTTTTAACATCTAGCAGTTCAAATAGTTTTTCTGGATTATCTGGAATTTCAGAAATTCTCAGCACTCCAACGTCTGATGGTGCAGCATGGGCATCTTCTCCAGAACGCACTGAAAATCATTTTAGAAAATTGGGTCTGTCCTGGGCTATTCCTGTCCTCAGGAAGACAACAGAAGCTGCTGCTCTGAGCTCATCATCTAGCTCTGATGCCACTCTACTTGCAATACTCAGGAAAACAAAGTCTCCAGTTAGAAAAAATGGCAGCAGCACTCCTCTCACTGGTCTTCCAGACTTCAGTGATGTCTCTTCTATTTCCATCAGGGAGGCCAGCAAAAGCACTGAGCGGGCTGTACTCATGAAGGCTAGAACTTCTACACCTAATATTCAAAATTCGAATTACAGCAGCGTGAAGTCCACCAGTAATTCAACTTCTGGGATAAGTCGAGATGATAGCGATAGTATCAATCTGTCTCATAAGAAGAGATGAGATTTATGACTGAGATCATGGTGTTCATATTTTAACGAGTTTTAAGTGATTTTAAATTGGTAGGGATTTTTATTTCTAGGTAATTAACTAAATCCATATTTTCTGACTGAACTTTTTTGAAGAGGACCGATTTTAGGAGAACCATTAATAAATTAATTTTTGTCTTTGTAAGTCAATTTTATTGGGACGGGGAGTTTTTTTTATTGTAAAATGGAGTTTATTGTAAGAAATAGATTTTCAACACTCGATTTATGGAGTTTATTGCCGAAAATTTCGGCTGAGGAAAGGCAAACAGATTCTCGATAGAGTTTAAGGCCCGGATGGACTGTCTGGAAAAGATAATTTACTCCAAAATTGGGACTTCTAATTACTCCGTCAATTAATCGTTTTTTCCGATAATTGTTAGCTAGCGGCCTAGTTGTTGACGACCGTCAGAACGCTAGCTAACAATTATTGAAAAAAACGATTAATTGCCAAAGCAATTAGAAATCCGAATTTCGGAGTAAATGATCTTTTCTAGATAATCCACCCGAGCCTTAAATGGAAATTAACGAATTAATTAAAAAATAGAAAAGATTTCATTTGAGTTTGGAAGAATCAATTTTATATCAGACAATGTTTTCTCGGGATGGAAATATCTCTCAAAAGAGAAATCTATCAATGAATATTCTATCCCTAAGTTGGATCATTAATTTTCTCTTTTCTTGTGTAAAATTAAGATTTTTCTGGAGTTGAATAACAAATAGCTAGAGCAGTAAATAAAATTTCGAGTGACTGCGATCTTCAAAAATGTAATTGTGTTTTAATTAACGATTCTTGCCCTTGACTAAATTACATCGACCCCTTCAAGACATAAAATTATTTCTGTGCCTGTATGCGTTTTGTTATTAATTTTTTCCGCTTTTTTGTGCTGCAGATTTCACCGGATTTGAAGAAATTTCTGAAGTCGGAGTATGGGATGTATATTTCTCGTTGATAAAATTTTCCGAAAGGACGTTGTGAAGAAAAAAAGACTACAATACCTTTTGTCAAGGGTTTTTTCACCTTTCGTACCGGTTCAACCGGTACCTGAGCTTCTGGTCGATTCTCTTGCGAGTTTCATGTCCTGTAACTGCGGAAATGATGCGTTTCTTTGGAATAGTGAAGTGCTGAAAGATTCTCCAAAATATCTACAATGTTTCTACTGAAAAAAAATTGATTTTGAAAATTTTCAGGTCCGCCGCGCACGCAGGAAAAGTTATAAACAAAAAATTTCATGACATTTTTGATATTTTTGATATTTTTTCCGGTGTCTCGACGGAGATTTACAGAATGATATATTTAATTATATATTAAATATTCAACATTCCATTATTTTAATAAAAATTCGGTATTTACTCAGTGCACAACCCGAATTTTGAAATTAATATTGGAAAATCTTTTTTGTTATATCTGGATTTTTAGTGAATATTTTCCCTAATGTAAATTCATCAACTTCCTGTAACTATTTCTCGAAATTTCAATTTCGATTCAATTTTTTTTTTATTTAATGACGCGGTTTCTACCCGAAACAATTTTTACTTGCAAAAATATCGAGCTATTGCTAAAAAAAAAATCGATTTAAACACGTGAAAATTCCCTCGAATTAAAAAAAAATCAATTTCAATTTCAAACCGAACAATTTCACCCAGAAATTCATAATTTAACAATTAATTATTTTAAATTCTTCTTATAATTATTCTAATTATTTTAAATTCTTCTTATAATTATTCTAATTATTTAAAATTCTTCTTATAATTAATCTAATTATTAGAAATTCTTCTTATAATTATTTTAATGATTTTAAATTCTTCTTATAATTATTCTAATTATTTTAAACAATTAAAAAAACACATCCCCAGAAATATCCTAGCGTATCACCAACAGATTTCCTTCAATCCCCAACAAACCCCAGAAAGATGGCGACACGAAATAAATTCCCACGAGGACAGTGAAATCCCCTCCCAACTCACTCCACCAACTTCCCAAACTCTCATTACTCTGTGCTCATTGTCCTGTACATTTTCTCCATGTCGTGTGGGTCCATAAAGGGACAGTGAGATATATCCCGACAAAATTTCACCGATTATCTGAATAAATTGGTGAATAAACACCATTTACAACAGACTGATCAGTCCAAAACACCGATAGATAAGTGAATCAACCAGTAACACTGCAATATCCACATTAAATTGTCCACGAGAAGTTAAAACAACACATACATATTAACCGATAGACCAATCTTATGAGCATTTGTCGAGGCGCCAAAGTTGTCCCGCATCGGCGCTTATTTCACCCCAAGTGGTATCAATGTTGTCTGGCAATGGTGTGTAAGGAGAACGTGGAATCATGGTTTCGGAATCTGTCCAGGTAATTATTGCATATGGAATTGCACCATAACCGAGGTATATATATCCTTGTTCTCCCTCTTTTTTCATTTTTTTGTTATTTCCTCAGTACATCCAGAGCCTTTCAACCTCATCTTCAAACTCTTCATCATCCACTCCTCATTCCAATAATTTCGTAATCCCCACTGCATCGTCATTACATAAATCCCGATTATCCACAAAGGATTATCAACACAATGACATAAATCACTCCTGAACTGCTGGGAATAGATCAGGCGATAAGTCCTGTACAAAAATGGATTTGCAGATTCACTGGCTCTCGAATTATTTGTCAGATTTCTCGAATAAACACATCGACTTCCTGGAAATCAATCGAGTAATTCCATCCTCAATATGATTGGATAGAAATTACACGAGACAGACAAATTATCCTGATTTATTTACCTGAATTAATTAACTAGTTATTAAATTTGATTATTTTTTCTATTATTTTTTCCAAGGAAACTGATGTGTGTCCTTGTATTATTTTCCAGTCACTCAATATGCAAATTTAACTCTAACGTTGTTTAAAACTATTGAAAATTACGGTGTACTGAATGTGGAGAATAATTGAAATGCACTTACTTAACTTTCAGTTATAGCCGTATCGATGTAATGTGCAGTATGCTGAACATGTGTTTACCGTTTGAAGTGCGGTACCTGGGTACATACGTTGAGGACAGAGGAAAGAGAGATTACAATGATTTGCGTGACACTGAGCATCACGCCAATAATGCATCTGATGTCAGTGAATTATCAACACTGGGTGTCGGTGATACGAGAACCAGACGAAAACTCATACTGTACATCTCCTTGCTGCATGGCTGCAATTACTCTTGCGCTGAAATTCTTTACAAGATCCTGGGTAGTCTCGATGATCAGGAGATTGACAGCATATTGAATGGGACCACTGTCAATCAGGAGCAGAAGGATGAACAGCCACTCGAGGAGCTTCTTCTCCTCTACACCATGGCACACTATCATCCCGGTTTCAGTTTTGACCAGAAGAAGAGAGTTGGGGATATTCTTGTTAAACTCCAGAAGGAAGAGACGAGATTGAATCCTGAGGAACCCGTTAGTCTCATTATTTTTCTAATTTCTATCTTCTCTCAATGTTTCTTCTTCTATTTTCACGGTGACAATTACTCTGTTTCATTTATTTCGATGGGATCGATGAATCAATTTTTTTGTTTTGGTTTTTGTTCAGGTGAGGGTTTTTCTTCGAGAATTGAAAGTCTCTGGTTTTTTTAATTATATAATAATAATAATGGGTGACATTCCAGGAAATCTCTCAGGAATATCGTATTCTTTTTTCCTTATTCAAATTATTCTCTAGATTTGTTGTTGAATATCAGAGGTTTTAGTCAAGTTCTATTTATGTCGAAGTTTATCGATATTATGTGATTATTATTTCAACTGTTGAAGTTCAGAATTGGATTTTCCAAATTAAGAACAGATTCACGAAATACTCCAATACTTTTCCATTTTGACGATTATCTGTTGACTGAAATAATTTACACTCTTTCCAAATTATAATCAATTCATTCGTGTCCAGAATTCTATTCAAAATTGATGCCATAGAAAAATGTTTAATGAAATTAAATCATTTACGTCATTAATTTATAAACAACGAATGGTTTAAAACATAAAGCTTACGGTATGATCAATACAAGTAATTTATACAAATATTTAAATATTTTCAGGAGTTTTAAATAATAAGTTGCTGTTGCTTTTGCGATATTTGAATTTTTTTTTGGACCATTTTGAATGAGTAATTAGTATTTCTGGAGGAGTGGGGGGTCGTAAAGTGAAAAATTTATGATCTCCATTTCTGAATATCTTCCTTCACAATCAAACCTGTTGTTCTCAAGCAAAAACATTTTTTTTAAATCCCCATTCCTTCCAGTCGAGAGAACGAATTAGGATGTTGATAATTTCCGCAATTATCAGTAAACTTAAAGAGAAAAACTTGCCCGTTTTAAAGTAATTTTCACAGTAAAATTATCGTAATGACCACTTGATTGTTGAATAACAGGTGTTTCAATTGTTATTAAAAATAGCGAGTAAAAAAATGATATGGTTTAATTCAGGAACCGAGCATAGCAGGCAACGATCGTCTTGAGGGATCTGGTGAAATGCCATCGAACTGTGCAATGCCTCCATCGCCACTGCCACAATATCCACCAGAGGTCCAGATGAGGCCCCCACTGATGGGTGGAGTTGGGCCAGGAATGACAATGCCACTTCCAGGTCTGTGCATTGCACCAGGGACTGATCAGATGCCAGTGGGGCCGTCAAATCCCCAGTACTTGCCCCTAGGTTTTCCCTCAGCAGTGAGTCCCATGCCTCCATGGCAGAATCAGACTGTAATGATGACCCCAGTGAATCAAATGATGTATCCTGCTGAGATACCAGGATATCCAATGTCCCCAATGGTCTCTCGACAGTCATCACCATCACAATCACGATCTCCAAGTCGAAGTAATTCACCCATGGCCCGGAGAAATAATTCCAGAATGACAACAGAAGAGGCAGAAGATCTGACGCAGGTGCCATGTGTGAGGCCATGGTGGTCTGCGTCGAGTCGTCAATCAAATGTCTCCAACTCTGGTACAAGCAGGAGAAATAATTCTCCGAGACTCATGACAGCCGACGAGGTTGAAGAGATAACGCAGGTGCCATGTATGAGGCCCTTGTGGTCTACGTCGAGTCGTCAATCAAATGTCTCCAACTCTGGTACGAGCAGGAGAAATAATTCTCCGAGACTGATGACAGCCGACGAGGTTGAAGAGCTAACGCAGGTGCCATGTATGAGGCCCATGTGGTCTACCTCGAGTCGTCAATCAAATGTCTCCAACTCTGGTACAAGCAGGAGAAATAATTCCCCGAGACTGATGACAGCCGACGAGATCGAAGAGCTCACGCAGGTGCCGTGTATGAGGCCCAGGTGGACCACCCCCAGTCGTCAATCAAATATCTCCAACTCTGGAACGAGTACTGGACTACCAGCAGTGAATCGCAGTACTCCTAGTCAGAGGGTAGCAACCAGAGAGTCTCCCATGAATTACTCCAGGCACAATGACAGTGATAATCTCAATACTGCTGCTGCTAGTAGTATTGATAATAAAGCTAATAAACAACCACCACCTGCACGGTTGCGATCATCTGTCTCCGGGGATTCCATCAGGGACAGTGGAGAGGATCTCCCCAATTTCAAAGGCAATCTACAGAATTACTCGCATGAAGAGGTAAGTCAATATACATTGTTATCATTACATGAGGAATGTGTAATTGAATCTAGGGGAGAGTGAGACTAAATTAATTTCTTTAATGTGTATAAAAAAAAATAATATTACGGACTTTTCCTGTAATTTTTATTTCTTCTGGTATTTCGGACTGGAAAACAACTGGAAAAAACTCATTTTTTATGTCGATATCATTGGAAATATATTAGAAAAAATCAAGATAATATACAATAACTCCATGAAAATTCAATAAAATAAAATTTATTAGGCATCATTTTGAATAACTGTTAATGTTAAAAATAATGAACAGATAATTCCAAAATTCACTTCAAGTTATCGAAATCTTACCGAAATGTGTCAAGTCGAAAAAAAAAACTGCAAATTCAATTTTCGCCTGAAGTCCTCATCAATAAATTAATATTGATATAATAATTTATTAATCCACTTGAAGACCATTATTTGAATAACACTACATCTCCGTTTCCAGGAATTGTTCATTTTCTACATTTAAATTGAAATATTTAATAATTGAGAAACTATTTTTATCCATCCATTAGCTATCTGAATGCACATCAGAGTTAAATAATTTTCACGCGAGCAATTGCAGATTTCATGAAGATTAAAAATTCAGAGACAAAAAATCGTAATTTTTTAATTCTCTCGCAAGATTCATACTATCGAGATAAATATTTAAGTTCAATTACTAAAGTGCTTTATGTTTTCAAATCAAGTAGTAATGAAGAGAGGTACTTTGCAAGGGAATTATTAAAAAGACATTTTGAAAGGCATTTCAATTTATTTCTCAGTCGCGATCTTGATGGCGTGCATTAAAAATTCAAGAAAAAATTTTGGGCATTCACTCGGAATTTTTATTGAATTTTTGCGAGACTTTCATTGAAAGTTCTGTCAGTTGATCACAAGTTGTAGTGAGAAATTCTGCAGCTTTCGTTCACCTTCTTCAAGCAACATTACCCATTTGAAAATATCTCCCAAAAAAGTTGATAAATTTTTATATTTGCAAAAACAAATTTTTCATTACGATCTCTCATTCAGATATTTTCTATAGAAATCCCCAACGTTTAATTCTTCAAATTTTTGGATTTTCTAATTGAATAAGTGGCGGATGAAAACAACAATTTAATTTTTCAAAACGAGATTTTATAATTAACTGAGTGGAATAATAATTTAATTTTCAATAGAAGTTCTCTAAAAACCCAATAAAATGTCCTGCATACTGCACTCATATTTTATTACCTAACAATATAATATTAATAATAATATTAGTAATCTTTTACATTCAGTGGAACTATTTCGTATGTGAATTATCACTGTCATAATTGCGCCCCACGATAATGAAATAATTAATTAATAACTGAATTATGCAAACATAACATTTTCTAATTAGAACTTATCCCGAGAGGGAGACAGAGAGAGGGATAATACGAAGAGAGTCGAGTGGTATCGAGATAATTTTCCTCGAGTCAATTAATTTAAACAATTCTATAGAATTCCTGGGGTCAGACATCTTTGTAAAATAATGTGCAAGACATTTTTTTCTTGTTGCTTTTCTCTAAACCTAATTAATGAGCTCATAAACCTTCCTAAGCACCTTACGAACAAAATAATTCTCAGTTTAAGCAGCTTGACATCTTGCACTCGCATTCACCGAGAGCGTTTCTCGCTGGGAATTAATAATTCAATCCAGAAGTGTAGGCAGTACGAATTTACATAATTCATATCGTCAGCAGGATTTTTTATTACTGGAGATGAAAATTGAATGAAATTCATTTTTTTACATAAATAATGGATAATTAAAACGGTTTGAATGATCGGAAATTTCTGCATTATGATGTAATGACACGTTTTTCCAGTTAGTGGTTAATTATTTATGAAAAACTCCTTATATTAACAATTTTTAATCTCTTAATTTGAATAAATAATATTTTTGTTTGAAAAAATAGATCAGGAGATTGAGTGACGAAGACCTGAGAGACATTGGTCTGACCCCAAATGCAGTAGGTCAGCTTCGAAACATCGTGAGAAGTCAAACTACTAACGGTCTCTCGAGTCAGCCATCAGTTTCCCTCCCGGAGAAGAAACCAGAAGTATCAGCACCCCTGAACCACCCGCCACCATCGCCCCTACCCCCTGCAGACTGCGAAGTTGTCCAAAACAATGACCAATTGAACGAAACAAGTGCCATGAAGGCATCTCCACTTCCCCAGCCCCTCCCCGAGCTGTACCAACCCCTTCTACATCACCATCACCACCACAACAACCACAACTTGGGAGGAATTAGAAGATACCCTACAATGCCACCCCTAGATCCCAGCCAGATTCCCCAGATGTACACAACCCCACCTCCAACCCTTTACCCAACCCAAAATCCTTGCTACGCGTGTTTTCCAGTCTCGGGTATTCCAACACGTTTCACCAGATGTCCATCACAGCACATGTACTGCCTGACACACCTCCAGACCCTCAGACTGGACGACAGCAGTCGTCAGGGCTCACAGAGCAGTAGTTCAGACAGCACTGGAAGTAGATCACCACCAGAAACACCACCAGCAGCTCCATGGGTGAATTCAAATGCCACGACGACTGTCATGAATTCTCCAACGTCCACAGGCACAATAACGATGTCCTCGATTACCCCAGGTGGTACGATTGTCTCATCATCGAGTTCAGGGGTAATACCAACGTCTGTGATCACAACAGCAACAGCAACAACAACAACACCAGTGACAAGTGATGGCTATAATCCACCTGAGCACAATCAGGGCTCCATTGTGACACATCAGACTGGACACATACCACAGATGAGTGATAGACCTAGACACAGGAAGGGACACATGATGAGGCACAAAAATCAGATGATTAATGGTGCACCTGCTGTCAATATGGCACCCTGTATATCAGCTTTTCCGGTATCTGGACACTCGCAGATGACTTTTCTACCCCATGGTCATGTCTCATTGAGGCCTAATACTGCTATGTATCCAAGTTTTTCTGGGTACAGGCCCAGCTATCCTGGCAGCTTTCAGTCCAATGGGGAGATTATGTTCCCTTATCCACCACCTACTACTGGTGGCACTCCACCACCTCCTACTATGCCACCTTCGACGGTTACTGTCGTTGTACCATCTCCAGCACCACAGAGCTATATGCCACCTGCTTCTGTTGTACCCTTCACAGCAACCGTCCAGCAACCCAAAATATCTTGTTATAATTGCGGGAGTAGCAGTCATCATCCTGGGGATTGCAAGGATCAGACTATGGAGGATCTTACGAAGAGAGGTGAGTGCTTCCTTCGAGGCAGGAGATATTCTAGGGTAAAAATTTGATCAAGTCGTACAGGGTTTCCATTTTTATTAATTCATAATTAACTTATTTTTGGGATTCTGAAAATTTAATGAAATTTCCACCGTTTTTTTTTTTTGCATCTCTCGACGTGAAATATTTCCTTTTTAATGGGTTTCTGGTGTTATCTAAATTGAGATTTGAAATTCAAGGTGAAATTGACGAATTGATTTTCTTCTAACTTCTAATCTGATAAAAATATTACATACAACAATTTTAATGTAAACAATTTTTTAAATCATGTTATGAAGTGACTCACCTTCATACTTCCATTAGAAATATCTCCGGAACAGATAAAGATACCGAATTTTTCATAGAAATCTTTTCCGTAGTTCTCACCGTTCTCTACAAAAAAGATTCCATCAGAAATTCAATTATCTCCCATAGTTTACGAGATATTTATAAAAATGTATGAAAATCAGTCTCATCACTTGACTTCAGAATTGAATTGTTAAATATCGACGTGCCACGTCCCATTGTTTTCATCTAACAATTTTCTTAACTAATTTCAGCACCATATCGATTAGACTATTCAACAGCGAAGCAACCCGCCGATTGTCTGAACGACAAGTGATCTCTGAACCGTAAAGGGGCGATTAAAACGATAACAACGACCCAAGCCACTCTGGCAAGAGTACGTCACGAAATAAAATCAAAATCCCTTGATAATCGGCAAAATTGCAGCCTCTACCTGCAATTACTTGTTGAAATACCTTACAATCAACATTACATCGCCGACAGAGATTTTTTAAACGCTGATCTATCACAATTAACTCTACCAAGTACACGTTTTACAAGTTACTATTTATGACCCTCATTGTAATTGTTATTAATATTATTATGAATCCTAGAAAATATCTATACATATATACGATATATTTATTATATTTAATATATGTATAAATATTTATTAATTAGTCGTGTACAGAGTAGGAAATATCGTAAATATTAAAACGTATTTTTCTTTTTTTTTTCGATCACATTTTATTTATATCGCTCTTTTCAATTAATTCATTAGTACTTGAGGTTTATTACGAAAATAAAAACAAAAAAAAATATATAAAATATTGTAAATTGAAAAAAAAGGATGACAGGATAGCAAGAGCTTCATTTTCTCCAGGACAGGGATTTCTTGGCTGGAGAAAATCTGCATTGAAGTGGTGAAACGGAATAATTCGATTTATCACGTTTTATTGAGAGTCAATTTCTGTTTAGAATGATTTGAGACATTTGTGCTTCATGCGTGAATTTTTCTAGGTATTTTTCATCTAAACTTTTTGTAGAGAGAATAAGAATTTACAAAAGAGTTTTCGCGATAAATCATCAACTCCGTTGCCCTTTGCAATTCTATAATTAATTTTTAACTGATATTCCATGACTCATCGATTTTTCGAGTGGTTGATCGGAGGACGAGATCCTTATCATATTCTGGATATGAAAAAAAATGTCTTTGGCATTTATTTCTCACATCACTCATTTAAAAAATGTTTATGTAATGATGTCGACACATTACGTTTCACCATGTCAATAGAGAAATGAACAATGATTCTGTAATAAAAAAATATTCGTTGAGTAAAATTAGACGAAAAAACGACCATAAGTGTTCTACTATCAAAATAGCTGCCGTAGTCCTCCAGTTGTAATTCGTATTGGATCTGAGAAGTGAAACAAATCTACAGAAATGTTTTAAAATTGTAATAATAACGTGTATCTCCGTAAACCACGATGGACAATTCAATCTCCAATGGAGATAAAAGCAAAATAATTTTCAAAACTATGTATTACCATAAAAATTAAATACTGTATCCGAAAATGAAATGGGAGAACTTAAAATGTGCAATGTGCTTGTTAGATAGAAAAAGTCCACGGCATGAGAGAAATTAATTGAAACTGCACGCCAACTCAATGATTTTTCTGCGGCAGCTAAATTATATTTGTTCCGTTTTATTGAGTGTACAGATCAGATGAATAGAATTGCTATTTTCCACGGATTATTTTGTTTCCATAATGATTTTTCTAGAATCTAAATAATAATTTCAGTAGTAAAAAAACGAAAAGGGAAAAAGGCTGCAATAATTTTTTTTTTATTCTCATTTCCACTGTGTTTTTAATGATTCATTATGAATCCCCTTTTAATGATTGATGATTGATATTATTTATAACTTTGTATTTTCATTGGCATCCGTGACTTATTGATCAAAATGATATGCTTAGTCTCAGTAAATTATCTTTTTTTTTAGTAATAATGGAAAGAATTATAAGGATCTCTGTGAGATGATATTGAATCATGAAATTGGGTTGAGTCTCGTCAATACTATTGTTTATTAATCAATAATACGTGCTCTTTGTTTGTTTTTTATGTCTCAATAAATTTGTGGAGTGATAAATGGAGATGAGTCCAGAATTTTATTTTCACGTGAAATTATAGCAGTTGTCGGTGGAATAATTTCCCACTTTCTGATTATTTACTTAATTAAATACAGTAAATTTATTAGTTCATAAATTCATATTTTCTAAACCTGATTCTTCAGATATTTGTTAATTAAATTCCATGTAATCTTTGGATTCGTCTTCTATTTGTTACAACAATGAATGATTAATTCTGGAGGAATTAATTATTATTGGAGGCTTCAAGAGGAGAATACATCCTAGGATCTTATGATCTGATTCCGCAGAATTTTCATTCATCAGAATTCAATTGCTATTTAAGGCCCGGATGGATTGTCTGGAAAAGATAATTTACTCCAAAATTGGGACTTCTAATTACTCCGTCAATTAATCGTTTTTTACGATAATTGTTAGCTAGCGGCCTAGTTGTTGACAACCGCTAGAACGCTAGCTAACAATTATTGAAAAAAACGATTAATTGCCAGCGTAATTAGGAATCCGAATTTCACAGTAAATTATCTTTTCTAGATAATTCACCTGAGCCTTAATTGTCATTATTCATTGGGTTTTACAATATTTTCTGAATTATTTCTCCGTGCCGGAATTTGAAATGAGAGAATGGAGAGAATGTGGGAGATTCTGAGAGTAGAAAGAGAGAGTGCACGATATTAGAGGTATGATAATAAATAATTTAAAGATTTATGACAATTCGAAGAACTGGAAGAGTCCAGTAATTTTTTTTTTACAATTATTGTTTCTCTCTGTTCTCCACAAAAATACAAAATACAAACAACAATTATTTAAATCTGATTAAATTGTGTTGAACGTCGAATCTGGTAAGCAGAAGATAATAAAAGCTGTAGGTCATGTACATAAACTTAAGTACGGCAAGTAAAAACGAAACAAATGATTTACATAAGAAAAAGAATATGTGATGTGTATATACACACGATATTAGGTGAAATATTGAAATATATTTGTAAATGCTGTTATATCTAAAGAAAAAAATTAAGGAACAAACGAAAATTAAATGAAAAAATCCAAAAAGAACTTAAATATTTTAATCTCCTGTAATAAAAAAGAATAAAAATTTTAAAAAACCTCAAAATCAAAAACGAATTCTCTGCCTATTTTTTTTTTTTTTTATTAATTCCTGTAAAAATTCATGGGGTTTTCATTTTATCGAATTAGAATAGATTTATCGAGGATCAATCGATTAGTTTCATCTCGAAAAATCTGAAACAAACATGTGATGGATAATAATCGGAGTTTGAGAGGGCAGGAAAGTCCATGGTCGATGACGATCAATAAATGCTCAATACTCTAGTAATAAAATCATTTCGATGTCGAATGATGTCAGACTGAATCAAAGAACTTATTCTTTTCAAAATCTTCTCCGCGCTTTCTTCTATGTTACCCTCATCCCCAAGATTATAACTAATTTAATTAAGGTTGTTGTCGCGTAGAATTTTTTTTCGACAGTTTTCGTTAACAATTTTATGGGGAATAGTTTGAAAAATTAGCAATAAAATGAGCCTTTTCCGTTTGCAATTGACCGTTTTGAACTTGAGATATAAATTTTTGAAATTTGAGTGATTTAAAACGTGTTTAAATGGAGTTTTGCCGATTAGAATTTTTTAAAAATCAACGGCTCGACAGTCTCAGAAATAAAAAAAAACGTGGAATATACATCGTGGGAGGAAATACAGAAAAAAAAATCAAATCGATTGACCGTTTGGTTTACGGAATATAATTATCGGAAATTCATAAATTTATATAATTGAAAATAGATAATATGGAAAATATATAGTTATGCTTTAGCTATCCATGCACAATGCAATCAATCAAGTGAGACTATATACCGCTAAAAGATTGTGTTCTAAACTGACCCGTTTTACAGCGGATAAACTTTTTACAGAGACTGTCGCGCGACAACCACCTTAAGATGTTCCGCCCTTTTCAGTCAAAATTATCGGTTTATTGATGGATTGTTTATTGACGGATTGACGCGGAAAAATATACCGTTTCATCATTATTTAATAACTCCCAAAAATCCGGAAAATTTAGAAAAAACACAGGAAAATCATCGCACAATCATGCCATTTTAGGAGTCATGGAATAATTATAAAAATGTGGATTTTTCGGTCGATCCGAGTAATAATTAAAAAAATCGGTAAAATCGGTTAAGCCCTTGAATAATTTTATAAATTTTATAAATGAAAATTCACAGATTTTTTACTAGCGGAACGATGAGAATCTTCGAACGTGAATGTCCAAACGAATAATTATTAACAAATTATAAATAAATATAAATACTCTGAGAGGACCAGTAGAAACTCAAAAAATAATTGCAGTTAAACTACATGACAATAATCCTCAAAAAATATACCGGAAATTCCTGTTATATTATTTTCTAGAATTATCAAAATTACCCAAAGAAATAATAAATAGATTGTGCTCTTACCAAGGAAATTAATAACAATAATTTTTAAATTGATAATTTTTAATAATAATTAATTACAATAATATTCAAACTGTGCGAAAGTCGTAGTTGACTGAATTATTAATTAACTAAAATATTATTATAAATTGAATTATTACGAATAACTAATTTATTTATTCTGATAATAATCAATAGAATAATAATATCAACAATAAGACCACTAATAACAATAACTTATTGACTGGTTAATAATTGAATAATCGAATATTTAAAAAATGAATAAAATATCGATTTTGAATTTCTACAATTAATTTGAATGGTTCATCAGATTTGGGGAGTCCCTGGTGGGGTGGGAGTTCCGGTGTCGATGACCGTGATTGAATTTTTATATTTTGTAGAAAATCCCCCGATGACCGGTTGCAATATCAGTATATTATATACGATATACTCGGATCGAAGGTCTTCCTGGTATTATAGCACGACTGAGGAACCCATGGCTGGGGTGAAGCCCCTCTACCATTGGACAAGGTTTCCCATGGGCTAGTGTTTTATCGCGTTTGCGCATGAAAATGTGCAACTGAGAGATCGGGGGTGCATCCACCCCCACACATAGAAACATGTGGACAATTGATAATAAGTTAGCGATTCGCTTCCCAACGGATACTCATTCCTATAATTCTTCTTATCGTTATGCTCGTTTGGAGATTTTGTTATAATTGTATATTTGAATTTGATTTTGTCGCTGTTTACTCCGGAGTTAGTCGAGATGTTGTCAAGACGTTATCTGAATTGAACTAGGATTATTTTGAGATTTAATAGAGGGCATGGATAAATATGTAAGACTAACCGAGCAACATGATAATTCCTCAATATGAGAGTTTACTAGAATTTTTATTCTCATGTTAAAATCGCCAAACGTCATCATGCGTCGCTTAATGAATGGCAATGCTATTTTAATAATCTTTCTGGTTAATCAAGGGACCATCGCAATCAACTTATTACACCGTCATTGAATTCATGTAGCCCATCATTTATCGAGTATACCACAAATAAGTTGAAGAAAAAAATTCTCTAAAACAATTTACTGTAATTGGATAACGACGAGTAGCGCGATATCCATGATAATCTGATACAATGAAGAGACTATCGATACCAATATTTCAAGCCAGGATTAAATCCCTTTCAACAACAACCTCTTGAGAAATCGCTCAAAATCGATGTTTCAAGAAATAATCACATCTCACAGTTCTATGATAAATTTCATCTTAATTGATTTAATTTAATGCATTATAATTTAAAAAATTATAAGTTCCTTTGATTGCATTTGAAAATCGAAATAATTACCTCGTGTCATATCAGGTGAATAGAAATGTTCAGTAAGAATTACGCAACTTTCAGAAAATTTAACCGGTGGTATGATAATTTTTCAAAACGAAATTCGAATAAAAATTACGGAATTTTCGTAAAAATTCCATAACAGTTCTTTTTTCTCATGAGATTTGAAGTCGGAAATCATTAAATTCAAACCACGGAAATTGGAAACATAAATAATTATAATTTCCTTTTATAATCCCATAATTTTCCATATTAAACGTAATTTAGCGGTTTGAAATGGTAATTTACGTTTTAATTCTCGTAATCCCGTGAACCAATTAAGCCATCGATTATATTGTGACTCGCTCCTGAAATACTTTTCTCAAATGAATCATATCTTTCATCACCACGTGCCGAAAATATTTTCAAATCAGACAATTTTGATATTCACGGTTTTCACTTGATATTGAGCACCGATATTTTGTACACATTTCCTTGAAATTATTTGGGACTCATCTGGGGACTGAAGCTTCCAAAATTCACCGAGGGAATTGAAGGGGCAGTTTAGAGTCTACTATTTGTTGTAAGAGTTTTAATACCGGAGTAACAATTACTCTAGATTTTAAACAAATTACCATCCGAGTATTATAAAAAAAAATCAAGATCTTTCGATTTCTTTCGATATTTACGAGAAATGGTCTTTATCACTTTCTCCATTATTTTTTTATTTTGCCATGAATTTCATTGATGGTTGGCTCCCGAATGGAATACCTGTAATCTCTCAGCTTTTTATTTAAAACAATATATTTTCAAGACGAATATTTTGAGAGATAAATAAATGAAATCGGTTGGATAGTTTTTGAGATATTCCAGAAATGAGATCTCCAAACGAATAAGAATTCCTCAAAAACGGCTGGATCGATCGAGCTGAAATTAGGCCCAGAGTTACTCATCATCAATACCTATGATTCGCCAAAATGTCGAATTTTTCTGAATTTTTTAAGCCGGTTAATTCTACAATTTTCAAAAAACGTGACCACCAAAAATATTTCAAGATGGACATCCTCACACTGGGTAATCAAACTTCGTATTTTTACGTTTCAGACCATTCTACATCTTTTCCAAGGAAAATTAAGAAATCAAAAAATAGAACGATTACAATGCTTCCATTCGGAAGTAAAAAATGAAAAAAAAAAATAAAAAAATACCCCTCTCCACAGCACCAGTAGCAGTAGAAACCACCACCACCACCAGCTGCACACATGTAATATCGAAAATGTTATAAGAGGGGGTAAAACGATGGGTCAATATTCATCCCTCGTTGTGTAAGTGCGAGGTGAAGCGCAGCAGCATCAAGCACAAGTGATAGGAGAGTGCGCGGCACAGAGGTCTTTCTTCGGTGTCCTCGCCCACTCTATCTGGTCGATCACACCAGCACCAGCCAGTCCTCGCAGTCGTATTCCCATTTAAAATCTCAAATCAATTACCAGTTATCCAGAGAATAGACTAATCAATCGATAAATAAAACTGAAAAAAATCGTCACACCATGGAGGATAAAAAAGTCGAGCAGTATTACACACCACCACCAAAACTTGGAAAATGGGAGGCATTTTCTACCTTCTTGTACAACTCCGAGACAGGACAGTTCCTGGGTCGAACTGGCTCCAGTTGGGGTGAGTCATTTTATCTATTTATTTATTTTTCTCATTGATATCCCATTTTTTTTATTGGGTTTTATTTATTGTTTATGATTCCATTTTTTTTGGGGGGTTCTTTTTTTTCCGGTTCATTTTTTTTTGGGAATCACTCGTTTTGCGTTGGGATATTTTTCAGGGGCTCTTCGTGTACTCTGGGGAACAAAAGAAACGGAAATTAACGGCTGTTTCGGTAGTTTGTCTACGTAATCTGGCCTCGATATTAGTGGGCAATCGATATTCCCCTCGGTAACGCCGACGAGGGACAAACCGGGCGGTTTCCACCACTGCATCAGCCATTATTTCAGATATTTGTTGAATATCTCGACGGATTTTCCGTTTTATTTATTTTTTTTTTCTCATATTTTCAGTTGTGGAATTGTGCGAGGGGTTCCACCCGGTGGGGGCTCTTGGGGGGACGGAGCGGTGGAAGAAATCAATAGTCCTGATGCACCCCTGGGGTCGATAATGCGAGGATATTTTTTTTTATTACTCATGATTCGGAGGTAATTTTCGATATTGCGGAAATTCATTCAGATTTTTCTGAAGTATATATTATTATTTATTATTATATAATTATATTCCCTGGAAAAAATTGGCGACGTAAAGTTACGCCATTACATCAAGCAATCAAATAATATTTATTTAAGATTATTATTTATTATTATGCAATTGTTTTTAGTGGAAAATGGGAATTCTGGGGTGAAGGGGTGCATCTCGGGAAAATCGAATTTTTTATTTCGACTCCTCGACGATTTTTACTTTTTTTGTCACACGGTTTCTTCGATGGAAATTAAAAAATTGTCTTCTGGGGTATTTATCGGTTTCATCCGGCGAGATTTATTTATTTAGTGGGAAATTGTTGTCGAGAGCCATTTTAGGGATGGGACTTGTGTTGCATAATAAGGAAATGACGCGGTGGGGATCGATAAGAGGTCTAGGAATTTTTGGATTCATCTGCGCTGCGATTTTTTTTTCTCAAAAATAAAGAGGTTGTACTTTTTTTATATTTCGAGAGGAGAAAATATTATTTTGCAAGAATTTCAAGGGGCAGACATTTTCGGGTGATCCCAATTTAATTTGAGGCATCAGAATTGAGGGAACTGGAGATTATTATTTAGTAAATGATTTTGAATGAATTCTGAGATTATTATTAATGGGTGGAATTATTATAAATTAATGAATCGGGAAAATCTTGAGAGTGGAAAATTGGGAGAGTAGAATTTCAAGTTCGAAGTGAAAAAACTCGAAAATTATTAACAATTATAATATTTCGTTGCATTTTTTATTGACAAATCGTTAATTTTTGGAATATCCAAGGAATTGTCTAGAGCCACGTCTTGATAAGGCAGGGGAACCCCTGGAAAGGGGGGGATTCCCGTAACAATTTCTCTGAATTCTCAATTTATTCAAAATTGAATTGCACTTGATTTTCAATTTTTATTGACAAATTTTCATCGACAAAAAACTCAATTTTTTCTGCTTTCAAGATGAAGGATAAATTTATAAATAATCACCAAATTGTTTAACACAACTCCAATGTCTAGAGTTGCACCTAAATAACCTGGGAATAATTCCCCGGGGAAAATAATTTCCCAAGGAAATATTTTCTCCTGTCAATCTTTGATTACAATATATTTTATTAAAAATAATATTTATTTATATAAAATATAAATTATCATTTAAAAATTTGTAACGTACGAGATTGAAAAAGGGAATTACATAACTATAAATTTTCAATCGTAATTCGCGGATTTGGAATCGTAATTTGATTGTAATCTCGTAATTTATATCCTCGAACTTTGGAATTAATTTTTGAAATATTTAATCCACAATTTATTTTTTATCTTTCATAATTGATGGCTTTCAATTTTATCTTTAAATCTTTTAATTTCTATTTTTAATCTCGCACTTTACATTTTGCAATTAATAATTCACTTTTTATTCTGTAAAGAACTTGAATAACTGAAAAAATAATTGACTTCGAATTTTCGCGTAATACATGACCTGGACTGAGTGAAAAAATTTTGGTATCGATTTTCGTGTAAATAACGATGAAATGAGATTTTTGGAGTTTAAAAAATTGAGAAGAGGTGATCGCTGAGTTCAAATGAGTTTATAGCTGCTCCCTGTGTTCATAGAGTTATTCGATAATTGGCAATTATGAAGAAACTAAGAATAAATGGCGAAAGAATGTAGAGATCGACGTCATGCGGATAAGAGTGACGTGAGAGGAGATGCATTCGATATCGACCCTCATCAGCAAAATATATGCAAATAATTATATCTAACGTATATCACATTGCATACTCGATGGAAAATATATCTATATCTTCGGCATTCGGAACAGTCTGAAACCAAATTACAGTAATACATTAATTTATGTTTAACGAGTCGTCTGCGCACTCGGTGCGCCGAATTTGAATTTGGCGGTTCGAGGTGACCAATGAGAAATGAGTTCTACGCGTTTCGAGATATTTCGACTCGGGCGAACTTCATTTTTGTGTTTTTACTTTCATTATAAGGAAATACATTAATTTATGTTTAACGAGACCTACTGCGCACTTGGTGCGCCGAATTTGAATTTGGCGGTTCGAGGTGACCAATGAGAAATGAGTTCTACGCGTTTCGAGATATTTCGACTCGGACGAACTTCATTTTTGTGTTTTTACATTCATAATAAGGGTAATAAGGATACTCTTTTCATTTTCAAGTAAAAATATAAAAATTAAAAAAAATAATAATAATGAATTAAAATGATTAAAATCATATATTGCGCTGATTAATGAGGGAATAGAATTTCTTTGATGATTGCACAAATATTTTTAGATAGAGAGAGGACAGACATTTTATTCAACAACAGTTTTCGGTTTTTTATTTAAAATATCAAAAATTGACCGCCAAATTTTGACTTTTTGAATTCCCATCGCCGCAATTTGGAGGAAATAATTTCCCGCGAAGAAAAGAATTACCGGAAAAGACCTGATAATTTCACAGCGTTTGCGCTATTGACAAATATTATTTACACATATTTAATTCTTTACAAAAGGAATTTTCCTCTACAATTAATCGAATAAATAAAAAAAAATAAAATTGACATATATCAGCGCAAAATCTAATATTAATCTATAAAAATGAAACAATTCATATATTAATCCATAATAAATAAAAAGCTAATAAATTGATATATTAACTAAATTAACAGATCAAAAAATATAATAATATTTTGGACATATATCCGGATATAATTATATAAATTTTTTTTTTTTTCCTGTAGGTTCAATACATTCGCAATGACAACAGAATATGTTCAATATCGGAGATGACATCAGTCGAATAGAAAAATCGATTGAGCGTAATTTTCCGGCCATGAATCCGTCAATGGTTTCGCGCATTGACATGAGACAACAAATGTCGTTTCATTTGGTCGTCAATTCAGGCCAATTAGACGGTATATCATAATTGTCCCACTATTTAGTATTTTACATCGCTGTACATCCGATCGTGTTGATAAATCCACGGTATTACCGATTTCCTCCAATTAGTATTGATTAATCGACACGTCATTTTTCTTCATTTTCGCTTGAGATTTAAATCTTTGCATTTTTAATCAGATCAGAATATTTTTATAAATAATAGAATAGCCTTTTGTAAATAACAACACCATTGTTTTCAGAGTAATAAATTATGTTAATGGATAGGCGGAAAGTATGTGTGGGAGCTAGTGCTAAATATTGAATTGAATAAATTTGTTTGAAGGTGTTTATTGAAATTTAGTTTAATAAACAAATGGATTTACTGCTCTTTACTGAATTTTCAATTAGTTCCATTCGTCGATATCAATTAATATTAAATTTATCAGACTCTCTGAGATATGAATATTCCAAATCTCAAAAAATTTCAGAAATCGATTTTTTAACAATTTCTCGAAAGGTTGTTTATTTAATTATTATTAAAATTGATAAATTATTGTTAATTCTTTCAATTTTCAAATGCAATCAAAGGAACGTCTTCATAATTTTTTAAATTATAATGCATTAAATTAAATCAATTAAGATGAAATTTATCATAGAAGTGTGAGATGTGATTATTCCTTGAAACATCGATTTTGAGCGATTCCTCAAAAGGTTGTTGTTGAAAGGGATTTAATCCTGGCTTGAAATATTGGTATCGATAGTCTCTTCATTGTATCAGATTATCATGGATATCGCGCTACTCGTCGTTATCCAATTACAGCAAATTGTTTTAGAGAATTTTTTTCTTCAACCTATTTGTGGTATACTCGATAAATGATGGGCTACATGAATTCAATGACGGTGTAATAAGTTGATTGCGATGGTCCCTTGATTAACCAGAAAGATTATTAAAATAGCATTGCCATTCATTAAGCGACGCATGATGACGTTTGGCGATTTTAACATGAGAATTAAAATTCTAGTAAACTCTCATATTGAGGAATTATCATGTTGTTCGGTTAGTCTTACATATTTATCCATGCCCTCTATTAAATCTCAAAATAATCCTAGTTCAATTCAGATAACGTCTTGACAACATCTCGACTAACTCCGGAGTAAACAACGACCAAATCAAATTCAAATATACAATTATAACAAAATCTACAAACGAGCATAACGATAAGAAGAATTATAGGAATGAGTATCCGTTGGGAAGCGAATCGCTAATTTATTATCAAAAGTAAAAATACCGAAAGGATGCAATATAGAATAGAATAGGCAATTATCCATTTGTATTTTAATTTTTCAGCCAAAATTCTGCTGTTTTATGTGATTTTCTATGGAGTATTAACGGGATTCTTCGGGGCGTTGTTGGCGGTGTTTTATCAGACCCTCGATCCTCAACAACCAAAATGGCAGTTGGATCGTTCGTTAATTGGTAATAATCCAGGACTTGGTTTCCGGCCGTTGCCACCAGACAGCAATGTTGAAAGCACACTGATCTGGTACAAAGCCAGTGATAAGGGAAATTTCATTCTCTGGGCTGAAGCACTCGATGCCTTCCTCCAAGGTAATCACTCTAAATCCATCCCTTTTAAAAAAAAGCATGTAACGTTTTTTGTCAGCTTTTTTTCGCGCATAGCTAAGCTATGCATATCATATTAATATATTCATATAAATAATTAATATATATGTATATTTATAAT